CTTCGGTTATTGATCTGCAGTTGCTGCACTCCCCACATTTTACACACAGTGCCTGTTAACAGGTTATGGGAAAAACCACCACATCATGTTTAAAAGTTGCATAAAGTTTCAAAAGATTTTAAGAAATCACAGCGGCACTGGCTTAGGACTTAGGATGGGGGATAGTGTTTATACCTTGAACTGGTCTTGTTGGCTAATTATACAGACACATTGACAATATGGCGTAATGATGATGTTTCATTAGCCAGGTGTTTGACATCAGAACATCAGAAGAAAACAACCGCTCTATTGTTTTTGCTGTAATAAAACTGGCCTCTGTTGGTTTCAAGTGCTGTGCTAGTGCTGACCGCGCAGTTTCTCCCCTGGCAAACCTAAAAACTCTGAAGTTCTTCTGCTTGTTTGATGTGCACACACAAAAACACACTGTGATCAGATCCCTGACAGAGCAGAGTCCGCTACAGTACAGCTAGCTTCACAGCTAACTGAGATCTGTGGTAAAACAGAAGCTACACTTAGCATGGGTTACTGTAATTTGGCAACGTTTTCTGTTCCTTCAGAAACCATTTCTCAACTGCTGGGACACAGACTGGGACACTAATATTACGCCTTGACGGTATCAATATGAATGTACGAAGGCGTAACAATGACACAGCTTTTTACAGTGCTGTTGTGGAATCTTAATCTCAAAAGGACTAGTGATGCCTTGTCCTCTGAGACTCTCCACCTTCGCTGCACTCTCACTTTTTGTGTTTTTGGTTTTTCATTGTTTATGTTGTTACAGCAAGTCTTTGTTTCAGCTCTTTGCAGCACATTATTTCATAAGCAGCATGTTCTTTCATTTGCAACATGTTTTGGTCGATGGAGTCTGGCCTGAGTTTATTTTAATTTGTATGGTTTCTGAATTTGCAGTCTGGCTTACTTTGATTGACAAGCCGCTACCACAGTGATCTTTCAACCTCATAAAGAGGTAATAATGTGTTTCAAACCATCATCCAAATATATTAACTTCCTGTTCCAAAAAACTAAGGAGGAGACGTCCAAAATGCTAAGAGGGCTTCATCATTTTGTCTTTGCAAACCAATGTGTGGCTGCATTCACATATTTCATACAATTACAATCTAGTTACTTGGTGATAAAATGTTGTCCAAAAACTGCACAATTAAGTGTTTGTGTTCGCATGCTTTGCTTTCTGAGTCATAAACATGTTGTTGTGGTGGCCTACACACTTTAACACTGTCACATCCAGCATGCTTAAACATTGGAGCTACCTGGCCTGTCACGTCAGAGTAATTTATCCAAAATGGAATATGAAATTGACATGAAGTGTGCCTTAGTAGAGAGGAGCTGCTTGGGGACTTGCAGGTGAAGGTTTGTACGTCAGGGACTGGGAGGGTGTGTTTGAGCCTGCACACTTGGTGGCACTGGGGAAATCCAGGGTGAAGTTGTGCAACTGTATGATGAATGATTCCTAAACTGAAGGGGGAACGAGTATAGAGCCTTTTCACCGATCAGCTCCTCTGCAGCCTGCGTAAAACCCACCAGGGACAAACAACCTCTGCTCCCAACAGCCCTGACAGCAGAGGATACACAAAGACTCACACATACACACAATATCAAATAGTCATATTTCAACGGCTTTTTCATGATGCTTTAAACACCAGTGAAACACATGAGCGCAGGAAGTGAAAATAATTTGCTAGGCTTGTTGTGTTAAAGCGTTTGAAATTCTTTGTTGATAGCTTCATGGAATTCGTGGCAATGCATGCTGTGGAAATAAGCTAATTTAGCAATTTATTTCAGCCAATAGAGCAACTATATGCTAAAATTAAAATTTTTGGATTAAGCTCATAATGTCTTTCAAAAATTATTTGCGCTCAAGTGTTAAGCTGTAAGATGTCTTAAAAGTGGCCACTAATATTCCCAAGTTTATTTTAAATGTAAGAAATCTCTTCCTTATTTTTAGCAGAGGTCTTCCGTATTACACAATAATGCAAACCGCAAGCACACAAAATCTCTCTCCCTCTCTCTCTCTCTCTCTCTCGCACTAATAGACTACAGGGGAACTGACATGGCTCTGAAGGTCACTGCTACAAAACCAGCTCTGATTCCCATTTGGTTTAAATGACTTTCACACTTTCCTTTTTCACTTTGAAAGCACTAACCACTGATTTTTTGGGTGTATTACTGAGATAATCCATTTGTGTGTGTGTGTGTGTGTGTGTGTGTGTGTGTGTGTGTGTGTGTGTGTGTGTGTGTAGTATGCAATATGGGGGACAGAGGGACAGCTGGACTTAAGGAGGACAACACTTTCACGCCTGGCATGAATTCCTTCCTGAAACTTACATTGTCATTATAGCTGCATCATTCACTCAGTGTAGGAATGTTTCTATAGATGTTGTGGATTTTCTGCTATAAATATTAAGAGTTTTTTCGGGTAAGATGTTGGTTCTGAACGTTTAAATGATTGTGAAATATTTTCAGAACATGAATTCCTTTGCTGTCAATCATGAAAATCACAGACACTGCTCTGAGGTTTGTGTGTCGGCATGATGGATAATACTATATTTGGTAAAATTAACAACAAGTGTGAAGAGGATTTTACTCACTCCAAACAGACTTAAACAGACTTTTTTTCTCTGAGACATTTTACACAGCACAAAATAAAGGAAAATAAACCCTCAGCCTTCTTCACAACTTCCAAACTGCTATTGAAACCAACACACAACCGGTCTGATGATCTTTTTCATCAATTTAAGAAATATTTTATGTGTAGAAGAGTTTAGAAAAAGTCTTTATTTGCACAAGAGTAAATGACCAAACATGTTTGGGAAAAGTAAAAGGCGTCTGGTCTGTGTTGTGTTGGCTCAAAAGGTTAATGAGGTGCTTGTTCGCTTGAAGGAGAGGAGACGATGATGCTCTTTACGGAAGAGCAGGCGTCATACGCCTGAGGGGCCACCATAATGACACCCCTCAGATCTCATTATCAGGCTTATTGATTGGTCATGGCCACCTGCCCCTCCACAAACACACACACTTGCACAAACCAAAAACAGTCACATGTACACACATTCACCGGCACAAAGACAGGGGACAAAATATTGACAACAGAAATAAAGCATGTAATACACAATAATGTTCTACGAAATTGATTGACTGGATATAGCATGTCCCACACAACAATGCAGAATGCTATTTAACAGAAAAACATGACATTATGTCTGTTTTTGTAAAAAATAATAACGAGTAGTGTTCGAATATAAATATCAATTTCAGGTTAAAAAAACAGGAGATTTATATCTACATGCCAGATATGGGCTCTTTCTCTCCATTCACAGCCTCCCACACACTCTCTCTCTCTCTCTCTCTCTCTCACACACACACACGCACACACACACACACACACACACACACACACACACATGCATTTGAACAAACACACCTGAGAAAGTGAAACACTCCACAACTGTAATATTCTTGCCCACACAGTCACTCCACAAGAGATGAAAACACACACACATACACACACACACACACACACACGCACGCACACACACACACACACACACACACACACACACATGTCCAGCTCAGTCGTTAAAGTTATGAACATATAACCAACACACACACACACACACACCACCATGAGATGAATCACCTAGAAATAGATTAAATTATTTAACAACATTTTTAGACACTTTTAGAAACAAATGGTAGTTAAGAAAAGGAGAGGATTCAATCTGCTCTGAACTAACACTTTCAAATGAAGCATCAAAAAAGCTCTCATGCTTGGCAAAACTACAAAAAATAGCTCCAGGAAGCAGGTTTGCAAAACACCCTCAGCTATTACATAACCTCTGTGGAGGTGAGTCTCTGAAGACCAGAAGAATGAAAGCATAATTCTAATAAAGGCCTTTCCAAATGTACGTCTGTTACTGCTTTCATACTCCCATATCCCACCTGCCTCAGGCTGGAACCCTGACTGGCTCCACTGGGGAGGCAGGTGAGGAGACCTGCCCTAGTAGCACCTGGCAGTGGGATATGGGGATTGAGGGATGGAGGGATGGAGGGATGGAGGGATGGGAGCAGGTGGAACACATTGAACAGATGTCTCGTTTCACACACATGGGCGCCACATAGATTGGAAGAGTATAGGGAGAAAGGTGGATGTTGTTGTTGAGTGTGGTTTTAATATTTGAAGATGCTGAAGTGAAATAAGAAGATGGAGTGATTGTTTTTGTAGAACTGAGAGGAAGAGGTTTTTCTACATTTTGATCCAAGACTATTTTTGCCTGTAACAATCAAAAAGTGTATAAAAGTCATGGTTCAAATTCCCATCATGGACAAATTGCAAGTTTTCATAAATCTCTTGGTGGATACACTGTGTTTTTTACATTAGCCCCAGACTGAAGGCTGCTTTCAGAAATCCATCTGATTGGCTTAAGATTAAAATGAATAATACACCCTTTCTGCAAACTTTTCTCTTTCAATAAGCATTCGATGCGTTTTACAACCTTTTACTACTTGATTTGTTACATATACAGCAACAGCTTTAAGATGCACTGTCTCAATGGAGGGACCTTGTTGGAAGCAACAGAGGAGGGTGCGATTAAACAGGCATGTTTTCAAGAAAAAAATAATATATAGAGAAGGATTTGGCACCAGTCTGAGCTTGGTTTCGCATGAATACAAATGATTAGCCTAAATAGGTCGATTAATTATCAGTATCACACTGAGCACATCAAACTGTGTTGAAGCACTGGTTCATAATTGTTTGACTAGTCCACTGTCATATTATTCATTGGCACAATTTGGTTGAGTGAGACTGTAAGGAGTTGTGTGATGTATTATGTATTATTGAATCTATTATTGTGTTGGGGCCACCTTTGTGATTGGCTGTGCGCTCCATGGGGGAGGCCAGAGTGGGTGTGGAGCATGAAGAGACTCTGCCTGTTTCCTGCCGCGCTTCTCAGAGAAGCGACTCTCAGCAGCAGCAGCAGCAGCAGCATCCGCAGCAGCAGCATCAGCAGCAGCAGGTCAACAGCAAGAGAAGAGGAGCAAGTGGAGGAGGAGAGCGCATCACAAAGTTTGAGGCAGCAGCGGCCACACGTGCAGAGACACCGTATCAGGTTTGTGCAATGTGTTCGCTCAATTACTGCGATTGCGCTGATCCGAATGCATGTATGCCTAATTAAACCATTTTTTTAAAGAACAAAATAAAAGCAGATAAAGTAGTAGGCTATCGGACTTGTATTTATTTTTAAAAGACTGCTATGCGAAACGACTGTGAGGAATGACTTGCGTGTCTTTTTTGTTTTGTTGTTGTTGTTGTTGTTGCTTGTTGCGATTTTGAACTTCGCCATCGGTTCTGGTGGCAGACTATTTGTGCCGAACTTCGAAGTAGCCTACCGGTTTAGTCCAGTCTACAGTGTCGGTTCAAATCCTAGCAAAAATAGCAACACAGCTTCACACAAGAGTAGCATACTGAATGTTAATTGTTTGGAAACAAACAAAATAGGCCTATGTAAATATTTCAGAAGAATCTATTTTAAGATAAGATAGGCTGCACAAATATAAACTCTTCACTTAATTTCACTGTCTCAAATGTAGCCTATATAAAATAACAAGTTATGGTGATTATTCAGTTGAAATTAGTACCCTGCCAGAGAGTGGAGTATTTTTTATCTAGACCACCAGGTCGAGATTCAAGGGATTCAAGATTAACTTAATTTGCCCCACAAGGGGATATACTTCTACACATATAGGCCTACTGGACCGAAGTGCAATGAAAATACAAGAAACATTCTTCTTTGGAAAAACAGAATATCTTGTTATTATTTTAGTCTCGAAACAAGGATGTAGAGACGGGGTGTAGCCCGTGAACCCCCTCAAAGGTCATATTACTGATGCATCTGGCATAATGTGAGTGAGTTTAAATGAGAACTGTCACTCGGAGGAAAAAAACAACTAATTTCCTGTGTAATGTATTCTGGATGTATTTGCTCATTTTAGGTTTGATAATGATGATAGGAAAAAACTATCAGTGCATAACACTGTAAGCCTATCTGTGGGCTCCTGTACCTTATGGTGTAATGTGATTCGACTCCTGGCCGGTTGGAGGTGTTGGCTCTGGCCGATCCTCAACCTTATCATTTACAAACCAGGACTGTGAAATCTGTGCCAGGCGTTGGATGCACTTTCTGGCTACCTGCATCCGTATCGTCTCACCTTACACTGACAACTGCTGAATAATTAACCATGTGTTGGTAAGAGTAATGAGTAATCTGAGTTTTTGTTATCTGGAATCTGCTTGAGGTCGCTGAGCAGAGGACAGAAGTCCTGTGCTGTTTTAAGACCAGGTTTGAGCTGATAAAGTGTAACAGATACTCAAAGTGGAGAGCTGGTCAGCTTAAAGATAATAATGAAAAAGAATGCTCACAGGCCTTAACCAGGTTAATTAGCTTCATGTTATATTGCAATTTAATGTTTTATTGAAACAACACTGTTTAAAACTGACTTCACTTGGCTGTTTACTGAAATGTTTACTTTGCAAAGGTCCCCTGAATAAAGGGCACCTTTCGTATATTTTTATTGTGTTCACACTCTATTTCTGTCTCCTTGAAATTGTAGCATAGTCTCAGTTCTTTTGAACATAGAAAATATTTAAGACAAAAATGTGAAGAAATACGGATTACATGAGACAAAACAGTTTTTTGAATAGCCTTTGGTTTTATTTTTTGAAACACCAAGAGCTCAAATAATGCCTTAGAAATACTTGATATGTGATATTTCAACAAAAGAAAAGGGGAAAACTCTTCTATAAGGGTTTGATAAATAATCTTGAAAATAATAACAAACAGCAATCTGTGGCCACTTTATGTTATTGACCATACTCATTTTTACTAGGGGTGGGAATCACCAGAGTCCCCACGATACAATATTATCACAATACGATTGCAATTGTAAACATTTTGTGATATGCTGAGAATTGGGACACAACATAATGTGATTAAGCTGTTTAATTGGATATTATGTTCACTACACTAAACTAAATCAAGAACTGTTTTGTCAAATAAGAAGAAATTCTCAGTCTGTTCATCTCACTTCAGTCTTTTTATTTCTAAACAATGAGTCAAGCCCCCAGACTGACCAACACTGTAATAAAAGTAAAACCCTGTAAAAGGCTGCGTGAACCTCACAATCTAAACTGTTGGTATTTCAGTCTCATCACACTTTAACATGAATTCTTAACAATGCAACTTGTTCAAAATAAATTGTGCAACCCCTTCAGCAGTTAAAAATGAAGGCCGCTATGAGACAATATTATATCTGCTAAGCATAGTATCGATTTTTTCCCCCACCTCTGAAGTCAGCACGTCATGGTAATACTGACCATGTCAACATGTGATGACCTGTAATTGGAGGAGAGATGGAAAGGAAAAAGAAACCCCTAGTGGTTTTACCCACAAAGCTCTAATCACAGTCTACTCAGGAAATACAGTATTGCACGGAGCACATTAGTGAATCAGGTTCTCCACCACACAGCTGTGTCGCTGACAATCTCTGTTATTAGCTGTGATATCTTATATCATTTATTCTCTATTGCCTCCCTCCGTGCTTGCTTTATTACATTGTCCAGGCCTTTGTGAGCAGCTGAGTGTAGCGGTAAAGTCACCAAAGTGTCTCCTCTACATCGTTCTGACAGTCACAATTTAAATTTCATGCTACACACTTCACTTGTGAAATGACTTTCTCACACTGAGGCGTAGAAATCACCTGTGCGTATTGTGGCACTTTAGTGTATTGCCCCAGAAATAATAGCAATGTCACACTGAGCGTGATTCAATTTGGCTGTATATAATGTGGCGACATAGCACAGGGGGTCATAAACATCATCTGTGCTGTCACATGAACACACAAAACAGCAGGAGGGCGAAGTGGAAAACGTCTCGGTGCAGAAGTCATCATCACACGTCTTCAACCCTGACAAGTGAGAGTGAGGCGATCCTCCGAGTTGTAGCCATTTTGATTTCCTGTTGAAGATTGGCTATCAAATATTCATCAACCCATTCATATTCAATATTCTAGAGCCCTTTGATACCTGACACAGGACCCAAGATTCATTGTCTCTATTGCCCCCTGTAGACCCCAGGGCACCGCCAAGCACAAGTCTTTTAAGTCTTTTGAAACACTAGAGGGCTGATTCACTCATTGGAATAGAATCTGCTGATGGACCATGAAGTGTTCAAGATAATCTCTCCGTCCTCATGCCCCCAAAGGTGTTTGGCTTTCCTTTTTTTCCGGTCTGCAAGGCCTTAAGGTGCCACCCAACCCCTTTCTCTCTACATCCCTCTGTAAACTCAGTCATAAAATCAGCTGAGCAGACTAACTTCTCCTCAGCAAGGTGATATGTCCAAGTCTTTGTGATGACTTTTCCTAGATGTTTAATCTGTGCTTAAGAGTCCAACCGGTGTTTCCAATTGTCAGCAAGGATCAGCAGCACCCTGCTGAGCAAACTTATTTCAGCCTCATTGTTTGAATCAGCACTTTTAAGCCATTGTCAATATTTTAAGCTCTTTTTTTTCTTAAAAGGTGGGTCCGACATTCACCCGGATTTTATATTTTGACTTTCATGGGTGTGGGCCATCGTGGACTGAAAAGCATTGTTTGGCATCCTGGCTTATGCTTGCGCTGACGCCATGTGTCGTTTCCTTTTACATTGTATATAACAAAGTTCCTGTTTTTTTAATGCTGACTCGTAGCCCTTGTGTTAAGCCGGTTTTGTGTGGGTAGGGCATGTAATATATATGGCCTTCATCGTGGGCCAGTTGACTGGCTGACATTGGCATTGCTCGGTCCCTAAGGACTGGACAAAACGGCTGCTTGATGGAAGAAAGTGCTGTCCTTTGACTTCAAGACTGCTGACATTTCCATATCGCAGCCCCCCCCTCCCTTAACACACATACACACTTCCTGAATCTCATCTCTCTCTTTTTTTTCCTCCCCCTGCCCATTGTCCTCTTACCTCTGCATGGATCTGCTTGATGCTATCCCGTGCTTCCTGGGTACCTGAATGCAGACGTGAATCATAGTGATTATCATTCTGCTTCCACCTCTCGCTTTTTTTTCCCACTTTCTTTTCTTCCTCTTCTCCACCTTCTCTCACCTTATCTCTCACCTGACATCTTTTCACCTCACTGCCTGGTCTTTGTGACAGCATTAGGGGGTCCTTTCAAGGTGAATTATAGGGGTTGGCTCAACCTAACCATCTTTATCACATACACCCTCGTTTTGTCCTCTCTGTGGACATTTTTTTCAGCTTTTCCTGCTTTTTTCAAAACCTTCTGATTCAGCAAACTTCTTGCTGACCCTTTGGTGGAGATGCTCACCTTCATCTTTGTGTTATCATATTATACCTGCCCTTTATAAAATAAATGTTGGATATTGGTGGATATGATCGGGTTGACATTTATTCAGCCTGATGGGTGGCTGAATATGTGGGAGAGGATTGCTGTGTTAATGATGGAAGTGCTGGTCAGATATGACAGAGTTCAGTTAGGTGATGGTGCAGGTTAACAGAAAAAGAAGGTGGGATGTTTCCATGGCCTGTCATCCTGCTTTCATCAGTGAGTCAGATGGCTTGGAAAAGACAAATATGTTTCAATACTGTCTTGCCTTTGAGGCAGCCCCCGAGGGGCCACATAGCAGAAAAGGAAAATCAGAGCCAGAGTCATGACTGGCTGAAATAAAATAAAAAAAATAGGTTTGCTTTATGAGTGGGCCCACTTAGCCTTTTTTATTACGGTTTTATTGCCATTATTATTTTTAGTGACATGCTCACTTTATTGAGCAGGGAGGGGAAGAATCCTGAAATAAAACATGTGTACTAGTCTTTGGTCTCAAACATATCTCTATCTCTGAGGTAATGCCATGAAAAAAGAAACACAGTCCATTTTGTCTTTGAATGTGGAAAAATACTGAGAAAGGTCTTTAGAATTCAAGCTTAAATTACTTGAGCATCTGTGTGACAAAAAAAGAATGTCTAAAGCAGTTATCTTAGTATCTCAGTATAATATAAAGCAGAAAATAATGGGGGGGTGTATAACAAATCTACGCAAATATACAAAAT